CTAGCATTTCTGGATATTGACTCTGGAGAGTCAAAGGTTGAGAAGCACAGGTCTAGAGAATGGTCCCAAAGTTACATAACACATTTCTCATGGAGTAAAATGGGCATGGAGATGTAACCCCTGTCTAGATTTGAAACAGATAAGCAAACATCAACATTTTAAGAATATTTTTTATTTTTATGTTTAAATTGTAGCTGCAGTTAACTACTATATCTGAGCTTTATTTATTTGTGTAAACTATTTATTATAGTACTTTTATGCCCACAAGGTCTCCCAAAATGATGCACAATAAATAGATGAAACTACTGTTTTGTTTTGTGTTGGATTTAAAGCATTTTTAAGGCCTAAATTTAAGAGTTGTTTTAAGCACCGCTTGAAACAGTACAATATTTGCTGATGGAGAGCTTAGTGGGAATGGAGCTGGCTTGATTTATTCACAATTATTTTCTGTTTACTGCAGAAATATTAAATGTATTAAATATTATCTGCAAACACATAAAAGACTTCCTGGGAGAAGAAGCTACTGTAGGAAGTGTGTGTGCATGCACACACATAAACAGACACACACACACTCTCTCTCTCTCACATGTGTTAAAAACAGGGCTTGGATTTTCCTTGTGCAAAGCTATCACAGAAACCACAGTTTATTACATAGTTCATGATGTCACTGCTCTGTTAGATGTTTGTGCTTGTTAAAGTTGTTCCACTGGTGCTTGCACAACTGCTGATTGTGTCACCTCTTGTACTTTTTCTGGTAGATTGACATTGGGCATAGCCGCGCATGTTTGTGCATGAACTGCACATCTAAAAATGAGGGAACAGCTTGGTGCAAGATGAAAAATCAGTTTTCCACTCCATCAGGTCTGATCTAATTTAAGTCTGCATGAGACCTCTTGAACCTAAAGAGAGTACAGTTCTAAACTTCAGGCTTGTGAGATTTTTCTTAATTCTTGTGGGCTTTTTCTTTAATCTCAGTCTTTTCCTTCCTCCTACAGTCATGTTTTGGGGCTCCTGAACACCTAGCCAGAAGAAATCTAGGAAAGGGGGGAAATTGTTTTATTATTCTCTGCTTATTGGAGCTGGTCCTAATAAAAGGTATTGACTCGTAAATCTGTTCTTAAAGCAGTCAAGGAATGAGTCATCTCTTTGTTGTTCTAGACGTGGGGGCTGTGGAAGAGACGGAATGCTCTGCTGCAGATAAAACTTAATGAAACTATTGGTTTGACTGTTTATTTTTCAGAAAGACTTTTCATGTAACTAGAAGGACGTTTCCAGGTTATGACTAAAACCATAATGGATCTTGGAAGTGTGTGTATAAGGAAGTGTAAAAGAGTGTTTTGGGGTTGTTTAAGAAACTAGATTGCCCTGCTCGATAGAAAGGCGCTTCATGCACATACTTTCTGTTCACTCTTGAACAGCTCTGGCATGAGAAAAGGCATGCCAGGAATCTTGGAAGAAACCGTCTGTGCTTTGCCCTGTGCTGGCCAGGCAGATCCCAGCTTGTAACATGGAACCATAGACATTCAGGTGACAACTAGCTGTATTGCCCTGGCCTCTCTTACAGTGCAATTAAAAAGGATGGTAAGAATGTGTAGCGGGTAGAGAAAGAAAAGCTGTCACCCATTTACTTACGCTGTGGAAAGCGAAACCGTCTGTGCTTTGCCCTGTGCTGGCCAGGCAGATCCCAGCTTGTAACATGGAACCATAGACATTCAGGTGACAACTAGCTGTATTGCCCTGGCCTCTCTTACAGTGCAATTAAAAAGGATGGTAAGAATGTGTAGCGGGTAGAGAAAGAAAAGCTGTCACCCATTTACTTACACTGTGGAAAGCGTAGCAATATTTTCTTTATGATTAGAATATTATGAAAAGTTTGTTATTTAATTTCTGTACTTATTAATACTTTCACACTGTCCTGTTCCTCTCTCATACAACCAGTAAGATGGTGTGGAATAATATAAATATACACCAAGGAATAAATAAATAAATCTGAAATATACTTTATAATATAAAGTAGTTTAGAATGCTTGATTTTTTAAAAAAAAGAGAAACTGCTTTTCAAGTGAGTGGGTTGAGACAATCACAGTTCTGGAGAGAATGCCTTTCCCAGCTTGAGAGGGAAGGTGGATCTTCATTTCTTCCATATCTAATCGACTGGCCAGTGCAGATAGCAGGTCTTCAGAGGAGCCTTTCCTGTGAATTAGAGTAGTTTCATAATGGGATAGGCAGTTCCTTAGGTAGCCAGACATTGTTGTGTGTCCCAGGTATCGTTAGATATGTCCAGAGTGACTTTTTAAACGTCTTCTGCAAAATCTCCCCATAGGACTGTGCATCTGGCTACCACTGGCAGCGTTGGTGAAACTGAGTGCAGAAATTTTGAGTTCTACTGATTCTGTAGATCAGTAGTTACCAACCTACCAGATTTTCTTGGATTACAACTCCATGAAATCCTGGCCAGTACAACTAGTGGTGAAAACCTCTGGAATTTTTGGTCTTATTACAGGTGGAGACCCAAATTTGGGAATGATTGCTGATCTACTTTGATTTGGATTCCAGTGCTGAGTAGGGGGTCGGACTCGATGGTCTTGTAGGCCACTTGCAACTAAATTATTCTATGATTCGCTCTTTTTAATGTTGAATTCTCAATTTACAGTTGTTCAGGTCTTACATTCTTCCTTTAAAAGGGGACACTTACTCATCTGTTAAGAAGCCTGGAGAATTATTACTTATTTTTGGTGCATTTTGGGATGGGAGGGAGAAAATGGATTATTGAAGGCCACTTGCCAAATGATGGGGGACCTCAGAGTTTATGCATCTACTCAGTACAACATGTTTTCTGTATTGTACGATGTTCATGTCACAATCCTGCTGTGTCTTTTAGAATTTCAGAAAAACAGGAGCGTGGTAAGATTCTTCTCTCTCACCAATTTCAACCAGATAGCATATGCACACTATGTTAAGTTGCTTGATTAGAGGTTATCCTTATTCATTCATTCTTCAAAGGGAAGGAAAAAATTGGTGAACTCAAGTTAAGCGTTGATGGGGATTGGTAAAACCATCATGTAGATATACAGTACGTATGTGTTTAATGAGAGATGGAACAGTTAACTTTTAAAAAAAGATTAGAACACTTAGAATGGGCTGCCTAAACTGTTAAATTCTCATGTTTCTGGATAATGATGTATGAATAAGCTGTTTGCTATTCTAAGTTAGGGCTGGTGAGTTGTAGGCCAGAAACATCTGGAGGGCTACAGTTGTCCACCCCAAGTGCAGTATTTACAAGAATTTTACAGTAGGGTAACGAAGAACATCTACTTTAATCCAGGAATGGGCAACTTCAGACTATTTGTCTGCTTCTGCGAGTCTTGGGGGTGGACAGATCACAAAGACTGCCCCCATGAAACAAAAAATAGCTAAGAATGTATCTGACTATGCAATTATAGTTGTTTGATTCTATTTTCATTGTCATGGCTGCATCTTGCAGAATGCTGAGTTCTGTAGTTTGGAGAGGGAATCCCCTGCTGTAGTCCAAGGATGGAAAACTAGAACTCTTGAGCAGAAAATTGTAGGTCCCTCCCCAAACTAATCTAGGATTCTGTAGGATGGAGCTATAGTAGTTAAAGCAAAATCAAACTAATGTAGTTTAGGTACACCATAGAACTCTATTTCCACTTTTGGAAAAAGTGAAAATTTCTTCCCATTTACTCTATGTTAAATGATAGGGGCAGGGGTGCTGTGACCTAAGTAAAGGATAAATAGCTTCCCCGAGGCTTCCAGGAACTGCAGTTTATTTATTTTTTAATGCCAGGAATGACATTACTAGAGAGCAGCTAATGTAGAGGAGTTGACACTGGATTTTCACCAATTGCTGTTTGTTGTGACCTCACCTGGATGAGGTTTCCAGTGCCTGCAATTTGCTGGTGTAGATTGGGTCCATGGCACGGTGGATAAAAATCTTTGGCCCTTGGTTATAAAAGAGTGCAGAGTGACTTTGAGACACTTGCTGTATCTCAGCCTGCCTTACTTCGGAGGTTGTTGTGAGGCTAAAGCAAGGAACAGGAAGGATCAGGCTCACATGAGCAATGGGGAAGAACAGTGAGATATTAATATAACAAATAGCTAATGCAGGCTGCCTTTCACTTTCTCTCCCTGTGCATTGAGTTTTTAAACCTGCTTCTTAATTTCTAATGGGCCAAACGTTTTCCCATTCTTCATTTGGAACTTGTATAAGAAGAACGTGTTGAAACTGGTGTCCTACTTTAGATATATCATGAAAAGGCAGGTTTCTTTGGAAAAGATAATATTGGAAAAGGCTGAAGGCAACAGGAAAGAGGAAGACCAAATATAAGGGGGATTGACTTCCTAAAGGGAGTTGAGTTTACAAAAATTTCGCAGAACATGTTGGCAATTTCTTATCCATAGGGTTGCCATATGTCAAAAGTGACATAGCAACAACAGCAACAATTGCTTTTCTTTGATAGCAACTCTCAGAACCTGGTAGTCTGAACAAAATCCACACCCAGATCCACACATAGCATTTCTGGTCCCTTGTTACTGATAGGAAGCTGGCACTGAGAAATTGTGGTCTTTTCTAAGATCCTTCTAGTGTGCTGAATGTGAATTTGACTATTGTTTCCTGGGGCACAATACAGTGGACCCTCTACTTACGGAACTAATCTGTATTGGAACGGTGGCTGCAAGTCGAAAAGTCTGTAGGTCGAATCTCCACTGACCTACAATGCATTGAAAACCGATTAATCCCATAACTGGCAGTTTTTATTCTATTTTTGTTCCATTTTGTTTTTTTTCTGGTCTGTAAGTCAATTCTCCGGCTGCAAGTCGAATCTAAATTTTGTGGCCAGAAAAGTCTGTAACTCAAAAAGTCTGTAAGTTGAGCCATCTGTAAGTTGAGGATCCACTGTAGTTCCTCCATGTTCCATGTTGTTACTGGTTCTTTTGATGTATCTGACACCCTCCTCTTTGTCTATTTATCCTCCTAGATATGTAATTGGTTCATAAACGCCAGGCGCAGGCTTCTCCCTGACATGCTGCTGAAGGACGGCAAGGACCCAAACCAGTTCACCATTTCTCGCCGAGGTGCCAAAGCCAGTGATGCTGCATTGACCCGTGGCAGCGCTGCGGGTGCTGGACTCTTGATGGTGCCACCGCCTGCTGCCGCCACTGCCCCGTCCTCCAAGGTGCTGCCCATGTCTGTCTGCCCCTCCACGCTCTGTCCCACTGTACGGCGTCCAGCCGGTAATGTCTGCACAATGAGGAGCGAGCAGGAAAACCGGCCCCCATTCCAGCGGGTGGAGCTGGAACCCCCCCACCCCAAGCCACCGCAGCTGGGTGCAACCGGCAACACTCTGGCGCTTCTAACCCGAGCGGAGGCCGCCAGTCCCACCAGTGGACTCTTTAACACACCACCTCCGACACCCCCGGAGCTCTTTGGGGAGGACTTCAGCAGCTTCCAGTTGCTGGTAGAAGTGGCTTTGCAAAGGGCAGCCGAGCTTGACTCGCAAAGGCTGAGCGGGCAGTTGCCTTCCTCGCTGCAAAGAGAGGCTGCCCTTCCAGCTCTTTCCAGAAAAACCAAGTAGCCGGTGGTGTCTTCTTCATTTCCCCCCACTCTCTCGGAGGCTTTATTTTTTTTCTTCCTTCCTTCCAGGGTTTGTTTTCTCTTGGCCCTCTACAGTGAGAGGCCTCTTGGCCAAAAGTTAATGCTGTGATAAGGCTTCTTTTGAACCAGGAACATTAAAAGCTTTCATGACTTTTGCTGTAGGGCTGCCAGCTCATCTTGGAAGCAGGTTGCCTGACCTTGATAAAAAACACTCCTCTGCCCATTCAGAAGATGGGGGAAATCACATCATCCTTTGGTTAGCATCACACCTTGGAGCCAGGTGGAAGAGGTGTTGTTTCTGTGCTCAGAGGTCCTTGAATCTCGGGGCAAACTGCTTTTGAAAGGCCCAAGAGACTTGTTCTAAGAGAACATGGCTGCCGGTCCCCCTCTTTGTTACTGTGACTCTGTTTGCCTCAAAGGGCTTGTGCAGAGGTTCTCCTGTGTCTCCCCACCCTGACCCCATTTTCAAAGCCTGCTGACATAAGGGAAGAGAACAGGAAAAGGGTCCAAATGGTAATGGAGGAGAAATGGTTTAAAGAGAAAAAGAGTACTACTTTCTGTTTCTTTTAAAGTAATCTAAGGTGGAAAAGGGGTGTGTTTGTTTGTGCGTGTCATTTTACCGTTTCTCAAAACTTCTCGATGTAAATCTTTCTGACGGGGGCAGGTGTGTGTATTTTTTTTTCTAAGTTTTGTTGAAGGTGGGTTTTTTTGTTTTTGTTTTAAAAGAAAAATACTGTAGCATTTCTTAACATTCTTTTGGTATGGTGTGAATCAGTGGCTGGTCCTTGTATCACACTGAATGGGAGCGCCCCCACCCCATGACAGAACAAATTAACTGGAAATGTGAATGCTTGTGGCATTTTTCTTTTGTATTTGGGGGTGCACAGGTGGGCGGGGTGGGGCAGGGAAATCTGCTGCCACCCTCTGGATACTGATGCCAGTAAGAAGAACAAAGACAATATATGGTGCTGTTCAGCAATCTTTGTTACTGATTTTGAGATGTTGGTAGAAATTTGGCCTGCTTTTGGTAGCTCCGGCATTTCTTCTGCGTACTCTTCCCTGTGTTTCTCCTGTACAAATATGGTCACAAATCAGGGAGAAGATTGACACTAGCAGGATGCTAACCAAAATCAGCAAAGGGCATTTTGGAGTTAGGGAGAAGGAACTAAACAAGACTCTTTGACTGTGAAGTTGCTTTAAACAACCCCTTATTTTTTTTGTTTGAATTTTTGTTGTTGTTGATGGTGAACTGTAATCCTCAATGTTTCTGAAAAACTTACAATGTTTTCAAGGGTGTGCTGACAAAACTACCTATACAAAAAACACATCCTGTTAGGTTTGGTTTGGTTTGGTATCCTTGCTTGCCATCATGCTGAATGTAGGTACTCCACTGCTGATGGAGCAAGGTTGCCCTCTCATGGCCAGGAGGGGACGTAAAGAAATAGCAGGGTCTTTCATGGTGAATTACAACTTCTCCTGCAGGTTAAAAAAAATTACACAGGATGGATTCTGGTATCACTGCTCTGTGTGACTTAATATGTCCCATCCTGTGTAAGTGAAGCTTTGGTAGAATACTGGACCCAGCAATAGTATAGTATCCCGTATTAGAGAAAGTGTGTATGCCACAGACTTAGGTGGAAAGATGCTGGGGGTTGCATACTGACTTGTGAGGATGTGTGTATTTCAGAGTGTCACATCTCCTTTTGTCCTGAGACCAGGAGCGTGCAAAACATGGAGTGCTCTGGGTGATAATGAACATCCTTTTTAAAATAGTGCTGTTTCACTGTAAATGTAAGTTAAATAGTGATCTATTATATACACCTATATATCTATCGTGAGGAAAAAAAACACTAATTTTAGAGGGTGTTAGCCTAATTATTATGTTGCATGAATAGTAAAGATTAAAGCCCAGAAGAATGCAACTTTTCAGATGTTTGTGAAGCAGGTGTACAAAGGCTTCATGAGGACAGCAAGCAGCTTGTGCGTGTTGGGAGAACTGGAACTAGGTGGGAGGACCTGTGATCCTCCAGGTGTTGAACGTTGACTCCATTAGCTAGGTTTGCTAGAGGTGATGGGACTTGGAGTTAAACAACATATGGAGGACAACAGGATCTCCCTCTCTGACTTATTGCTTCTGTAACAAAATGGTGCAAGTGCCTTCCCCCCCCCCTCTGCCAGCCAAAGTCTAATCTTAGGGTTTAGATTGGTGCATCCTGTAATTGCTGCTGAAGAAATAATTGTCCATTCCTCCCCCTCCACTCCTGTGCTCTCAACCCTTAGTCCCATATCCTTCATGCAATGAGTAGCCAGCTGTGCCTAGAGACCTGCTGTTTAGTGGATTCAATTCACAACCTTAAGAAAGAACGGTCACCAAACAGTGCTAGTTTCTCCGATAGAAAGCCCACAGAGCTACCTTGAAAATAGTCTTTTTTCCCTTCATTTTGTTAATATGTTTTGGATGAACTTATTTGTAACTATGTGTCTCCATAGTTGTTCCCATCATCATTGGCCTTGGATGGTGAACACAGAACTCCTCAGAGTGGACAATTCCCACTTGATAGAACACTTAGCATCCCCAGTAATAGTACGGCCATGCTGGCTGAGAGATTTTGGGAGTTGTACGCTACAGAGAGATATTTTTCCTGACTGTTATCTCAGCTTGAGTTCCAGCTGTATACCTCTTGGATTTCTAATCTGTGGAGCAAGACATGAGCCCTATCCTGACATTTTCTTATGTGAGTACAGGGTATATGTAACTCGGCAGGAGCATAGAGGGAGAATGACTTTTCTGAAGGGATTGTTCAGTGATGCTCTCTGTGCCATCTGAAACTTTGGTTTTTCCAGTGTGTGGAGTCTCGGTGTGTAAAAAATCCTTCTTCTTGAAATGGTGATGGATGCGGGCAAACCTCATGTGCTCCTCCTCCTGTGTTTACTCCACCCCCTTAGAGAATGATTGTATAGAGAGCTTTCCTCATGGTGGCTTCTAGCTGCCTAGAGCTATATATTGCTTCAGTCTTCCCTTGAAACTTTTGGGAAACTGCTGCAACAATAGTATTCCAAGTTCCACCTGAAGCCTTAATTACAGTTATTTCTAATTAATTTTCACACCTATTAATCTCCCACTTGATTTTAGTGGGACACAGTTGGATTATGACCAGTGGGTTTAGGGACACAGTTGAATTGTGACCAGTGTGATTCGGATCACATGTCCAGTAAAAAAGGCAGGAGAAACCTCTTTTTCCTAGTATTGCAAGAGCCTCAGCAGATCTGAAACTGAAAAAAAAAGGAAGTAGACCGTTCCAGTTCCCACAGTGCACTGCTTCTGCCGGTGCAGAGTCTAGACTGCTGTATCTTGTTTGTCCTAATGATGTGGAGATCTTGTTTTAGAAGGGATGGGGAATTTAAAAAAGAGAATATTCTTTTGCCTGAAGTTTATGAAGCAAAAAACAAAAACAAAAAAAAACAGAAACTAAAACTACTGTAAATAATTTTTTGAATTTTTTTAATCAATAAAGTTTTTTTAAAATATACCATACCTAGTGAGAGATGGGTTTGTTTGAACACAGGCAATGGTTTGGCTTAAATGAAATGCATATACATACAAATGGGAAATCTTGACATCTGAGCATTCAGCCTGGAGGCAGGCAGTGCAGCATGGCCTCTCTCAATTTGAAGAGACACTTGTTCAGCAGGCCGAGGCCAAGAGGCAGTCCTGAAACCAGCAAAATCCGGGAGCTGGACAGGGGACAGATTATATTTGTCTTCTGCGTGGAAGGGATTGTCACTCTCGAATTGGCTTTCTTACCCACACTAGACGCTGTTCCAAGACCTCTATTCAGAGCATGTTACCATAGTCTCTCAAGACTGAAGGATGGCTACACATAAAAATACACTCAAATTTAACTACAGTGGGGTCTCTACTTAAGAACGTCTCTACTTAAGAACAATCCAACTTAAGAACAGCTCCATTTGCTAAATTTTGCTTCTACTTGAGAACAGAAATCCAAGATAAGAACAGGAAAAAAAACCTTTCCTGCTCTTTTTTTAAGGTCATCTTAGGTTACAAAAAAATTCTCCCCCTAGTGGTAGAGTACGTATTAACCAGCTTTGCATTAGTTCCTATGGGAACTAATGCTTCAATGTACGAACGCACCTCTACATAACAAAAAAAAAAAACCCAGCCAGAACGGATTAATTGGTTTTCAGTGCATTCCTATGGGAAATTTTGCTTCAACTTAAGAACGTTTCAACTTAAGAACACCATTCCAAAACGGATTAAGTTCTTAAGTAGAGGTTCTACTGTATCTCAGATTTACCCAGACATTGTCTCCTGGAATTTCCAGTGGTGATAGTAAACACAACTGATGTTGCATCTTTATTTTGGCACTTTACTGTTTGCTTATTAAAGTAGCAGGAAGCTGTCAAATTGTAGCAGTGTGGATAACCTCTCCAATGTTCTGTAGGATTTGCACAGCAATAATTTTGAATGCAAGAGGCACTGCTAGCCAAGGTGTGTTGCTCATTTGGGATTTGCTGTTATATCCAGGCTGTGAGGTGGAATCGGAAAATCCTGCTCTTGAAATTCCAAGGACTAAACTTCAAGTGTTTTCATCAAGGCTTTTTCTCCTTAATGCTTGGTCCTTATGGGTGTATAGAACTTTTGTTATGGCTTAAGAGAGGAGGGGAACACATACACACCCAACATGCAGGCTAGTACTCTGTTTGTTCTGAACAGTGTGCAGTTGTTTTTCTCCCACCATTTATGCGTGAAGTAATTCATAAGGATTGAGGGTCTTGCAGTTCTGTCAGTATGCAAATCCATAACATACAGAAAATAACATCATAGGGCTGCACTTTTAGACATTTGGAAGGGTTTTATAGAAGCTTATAGAAGGGTTTTATAGAAGCTTATAGGGTTTTATAGAAGCTAACATGCGCTGGATTATGGAAAAAGCCAGAGAGTTCCAGAAAAACATCTACTTCTGCTTCATTGACTATGCAAGAGCCTATGTAGAGCAGCCTTTGACTGCGTGGACCACAGCAAACTATAGGAAGTCCTTAAAGAAATGGGAGTGCCTGACCACCTTATCTATCTCCTGAGAAATCTATATGTGGGACAGGAAGCAACAGTTAGAACTGGATATGGAACAACTGATTGGTTCAAAATTGGGAAAGGAGTATGACAAGGTTGTATATTGTCCCCCAGCTTATTTAGCTTATATGCAGAATACATCATGTGAAAGGCATGACTGGAGGAATCCAAAGCCATAATTAAGATAGCCGGAAGAAATATCAGTAACCTCAGATATGCAGATGATACCACTCTGATGACAGAAAGTGAGGTGGAAGTAAGGAACCTTGTAATGAGGGTGAAAGAGGAGAGTGCAAAAAATGGTCTGAAGCTCAACATCAAAAAAACTAAGATCATGACCACTGGTCCCATCACCTCCTGGCAAATAGAAGGGGAAGTTACGGAGGCAGTGACAGGTTTTCTTTCCTGGGCTCCATGATCACTGCAGATGGTGACAGCAGCCTCGAAATTAAAAGACACCTGCTTCTTGAGAGGAAAGCGATGACAAACCTAGACAACATCTTAAAAAGCAGAGACATCACCTTGCCGACAAAGGTCCGAATAGTCAAAGCTATGGTTCTTCCAATAGCGATGTATGGAAGTGAGAGCTGGACCAGAAAGGTTGACCACCAAAGAACATGCTTTTGAATTGTGGTGCTGGAGGAGACCCTTGAGAGTCCCCTGGACTGCAAGGAGAACAAACCTATCCATTTTGAAGGAAATCAACCCTGATTGCTCACTGGAAGGACAGCTCCTGAAGCTGAGGCTCCAATACTTTGGCCATCTCATGAGAAGAGAAGACTCCCTGGAAAAGACCCTGATGTTGGGAAAGTGTGAAGGCAAGAGGAGAAGGGGACAACAGAGGACAAGACGGTTGGACAGTGTCATCAAAGCTACCAACATGAGTTTGACCCAACAGTGGAAGACAGGAGTGCCTGGCGTGGTCTAGTCCATGGGGTCATGAAGAATCCGACACGACTTAATGACTAAACAACAACAATGTATATAGATCCTGGTATTTTTTACCTCTGTTTCCACTATGTATCCGTTTCAGATCTTAGGTTTCTTTTTTCCTTCCTTCCTCAGTGTTTTGTTCTTTCACATGTTTTTAACATAGCATTTAATAAATTTGATTTTTAAAAGG